AAAATACCCAATATCCATCTGTCTCTCTCCATCTTCATTACTTCTACTCTATCAAAAGTTACCATTTTTCTTTTTTTTTTTTGCTTAAACTATCTCATTAGCCTCATAAATGTTCTTTGATCTCCATCTGGTTTTTGCCTCTCTTTGGCTCATAAACTGTGTACCAAGCACACTGTTCTCTCTACCCTCAAACACTCCAAACCTACACATTAAATTGTTTCTTCTACTTGGAATTTCCCCAGATTTTTTCATGACTTGTTTCTTCATGATTTTCAGATATTGGTTTAAATATCACATCCACATTCAATTCCCTTACCTCTTTTTTTTTCCTTTTTTCCCCCTTACCTCTTAATAGAAGAAGCCACAGTCATGCTATCCAATAATATTAATTTAATTTTCAGCACAGCACTTATCAGTGCTTCTTCACTGTCTATCTTTACCACTAGGTCAATCCCATGAGATAGGGGCTTTTGCTTGTCTTGGGCACTTTGTGTCCTCCAGGTTTAGAATAGGACACTGGTACAAGATAGTGTTTAATAAATGTTAATGAACAAATGGACTTATGGATAAATATTTAAAGTACATCAGTATATATACTATTTTTAAAATTAAGAATTATACAGTTTTGGACTAGCAAACAGACATGATTTACTTTAATTTTGTTTATTTGTTTGTTATATCTGTTCCCCATGGTATAAATAGCTTTAATTGGACAAATCATTATTTTTTGCTATTCTTTATATTACACTACAGATATCTGTTTCACTTAATGGTAGAGTGATCAAGATTGTACGGTGAGGAAGGAAATGTCTTGCTTTCTCAAAGGAATTTTTGGAGGCTCTGAAGAAAACAAGCAATTGATGCAAAATTGGAAGGGTTTTACCTTTTTTTTTTAAGTATTCCATTTAGTAAAATTTAAAAAATTGAATAAAAGTAAACTGGAAAATAACTATAAAAATATATGCTCACTATTTTGAATATACAAAGTCTAATGGGAGATTTTCTTTTTGTATTTCCATTCATGAGAAAATAAAAGTGTTTGCTTTCTTCAGCAGACTTTATGGACTATATGACCAAATTTATATAAAAGAAGAGTAGAACTTAAAAACTAGTAACTTCTAGCCACTATGTTATGTTTTTTGGCTTCAACTTCTCTGAGAATTGGGAAATTACAATCAATATTAGAGAGATTGAATGGAAATATAATATACAAAACAATTCTTTTTTTTAATACTTAAAATAACTGAAAAGAGAAGGAAATCTCCTTGAAAGAATATAAGCATTTAGAGGTCATAAGATATAATGTATAACTAATACATTGGTATCATATTTTTTAAACATTTAAAACTATGTGTAAAAAGTACTTATTTACATTTTACACATAATCTTATACATTTATATGTATCTGTATAAAAGCATAAATTGATTCTAAAAGGCTACCCTTTCAACTCAGTTATTTTTACCTGCATCTTATATACACTGTTTTACATTTAATAAAGCACAAGAAAAATCTCGTCATTATTAATAGGAGTGAATCATTAATAACTATAAAGTGCTTTGACAGTCTGATATTCAATTTTGCAGGGTAAATTCTTTAATTATATATTAAATAGTTCTTTAGAAATCAAAAGAACTATTAATATTGGAAATGCTAATAATTGTGATTATTTGGTCTATTAATAAACTTAAACATAAATTTAAATTTTTGATATTTTGGGAAGATTTCTGTTTATAGCAATACATATTTTAACAATTATCAGTGAACATATTTATATTAGTCTCATCCTCAAAAGGGATTTTAGTTTCAAAATTACCAGTAAGAGTAATACAACAATAATTTTCATTCACTGTTTTCTATTAATTTTTTGTTTGCTTTTTAAAATGGGATAATTAATAGTTATATCACAAACTCCTCTTTGTATTACCTTTTTGTCTTTTCCTCAGTTTTAATGGAATGTGGTCCATTTTCATATTCAGAATTCATGCTCTGTCTCTGATTATAAAAAAAACAAAATTATTATAGAAGGTATAACTAACATATTATAGAAGGTATAACTAACATTTTAGGAAACATGGACTGTTAATTAACAATTATTCCATCAAAAGTCAAAATTAAGCTGTCAAAGCTTATACTGCATATAAAATTAAACCTAAGTATAGTTTGTGAAAGATGTGCAAAGCTATTCAAGTTTCCAGTAATACACTCTAAAGAAAAAGTATGATTAACAAAATGATTAATAATATATCATAAATAAAGCACATATAGTTATCTTTAAAATCTACTCTCACTTGTATTCTTGTTAGGAATGCTCAGGTATTGTGCCTTTCCAAAAAACAAATGCTCCCATTTCACATTTTGATTATTTTCCCTTGGAGACCTAAAACACTTAAAATTATGACAAAACTCCATTTCTGTAAGAAGAAAATGAGATTTTTGCATTGTATAAATATATTAATACAATTTTCTTTAAATACATATACATGGCATAGGAAGAACAACATCAAATTAAAGGAAATTAAACACTTCAATAACAAACATTTATGCATGTTAAACCTTATTTTCCAAGCAGTACAGACATTTTAAAAAGCCTCAGTCTTTATTTTTCTATTGTCCATGAAAATTCAGTGTTGTTTTAAAGATATTTTTGAATATGCTACAATAGTAACTCTAGATAAAATACCAATGGATTTTCAAACAAATTGGTTTTAACAATGCTCACATCAGTCACACTGACAAAAAAAAGCTTGTTAAGTTACAAGTCTGTTAGCAAGAGTGGTCATTGATTTTGTCATAGAGTTTCTAAAGACCACACGTTTAAGCAGATTTATTTAAGTAGTAATATGTGGCAATAAATAAAACATGTACAGTTAAATAAAAACTTCATTACAACTTTAATAATAATACTGAGTAAATAATTCTAAAGAGTGCAACAATTATACTTTATATGACAAATGAAGTGATGGTAATTAATTCTGGCTTCTCTCTGACTCAGTGAAGATGTGTTTAAGTGAAAATTTAAGAAAAGCAATTTCTATTTAAATACATATATTTCATTCTACAAATTACTAAATGTGGAAGAGAGACTTAAATTATAAAAGCAACAGAAGATGACATTCTAAGGTAAAAACCTTAAAGGTGTATTGTTTATTTTTATGATTTAGCACTATCCACTCCATCTATCATGATTTCAAAAAATTAAATGATATTTGATCTTTCTAGAACAAAGGTAAATTAAGACTGTTCCAAGGACAATGATCTATAAACGTAGAAAAACTAGTATAGAAATGTTCACATTGATACTGCTTGTCATAGTTAACTCATGAAAACAATGACATCTATCTACAAAGTTAATAATGCCTGAACATAAAATTTGATTTAGATATATGAAAAATGAAGATTCTCATGTCCTTGGAGTTTTCTTTATAATAATGCATTATTTTGGAATACGGACAGTTCTCTCTTCCGTGAGGGCTAATAACATGGAGATTCTGATGCTAACTAAGAGAGAATCCCGAAGTAGTGCTGTCCTCCTTTTACTATTTTGTTGAATACCTTAAAGTCATATCTCAGTTGTTTTGATTTACAGTTTGAGTTATTACCTTAACCAAAAGTAAGTTATTATGACAAATTAAAGATTAGTCTGAGGTTACAAATAGTGAAGAAATATGGATGAGAACAAAGCTTTACTTGAGAGAAAAATTTCAATAATTCTGATACTTTTCTAATTTACAACTCCCAGGAAATTGTGTTAATCTGTATTTTATTTTCTAATTGAAAGTAGAGACCACATCTTTATATATAATATATTTAAAAGCAATGTTTCATCCTCATCTGTCTGGTAATTTTCTTTTAATGTTTTTGTATTCTTAAGGATTAATTAGCTCTAAAAGATAGTCGAATTCTTCTTTGAGATTTTCCTCTTTAAAAGAAACAAATCAAAAGTTCTTTTAAGAATATAGAGATTTGGTAATTCTAATAAACCAGTGTGGAAATTCAAGCAAAAACCTTCTTTATTTTGATTAGAAATAAACTTTGCTTTCAGTGCACAAGTGCAAAAATATAACAAAAGAAGGTGACTTGGTACTATTAAGATAAACCCAACACTTCGTGTTTTTAAAAGGTGAAGTTTATTTTTCTTCTCTAAAAGATGAAATTTATTTTTTAGTAGTGCTTTGCTGCCTGTAGTGATTGTAGCTTACTTTTCATTTTTTGTTTCACTTTTAAAGTAATTTTGAATCAACATTGATAGGCTAAAACTAACCTTCAAATCTATTCATGTACTGTTAAATAAAAACTGATTCATTACAACTTAAAAAATATTACTGAGTAAATAATTTAGAGAGCAACAATTATACTTTATATGAAAAGTGAAGTAATATAATTAATTCTGGCTTCTCTCCAGGTTGCCAACACCAACAGGATTTTGTTACCTCTTTTGAATTGAGAGCAAATAACCTAAGTCTTCCTATGTAAATATCCTTTTTTAAACATTTTATATAAATCCATCATTAATTTGAAATTCTAATTATTAATCAGAAGAAAGAGGCTTCGTTAAAACTACATTCTGATGACCTGCATCTTCCTCTGGATCTTTGTCTTTTCTCTCAGGATACATGTGTATCATGTCACATCCTCTTATAACATACAAAAAATATATTTCATCCTAAGAAATCTTTGAAACAATTGCCTAATAGTTGTATTTTTAAGGGAATAGTAAAAGAAAGATAAGGCATTTACTCTTCTGAAATGTAAGATTTTTCTTTTCCTTTATTTCATCTAGTAATACGTTAGCTCTGGTTGTGAGTAATCATTTCTTTCCTTTTTTAAATATGTGCTGGGCCATGCTTAGTCGCTCAGTCATGTCCGAATCTTTGAGATCCATGGACTGCAGCCTGCCAGGCTCCTCTGTCCATGGGATTTCCCAGGCAAAAATACTGGAGTGGGTTGCCATTCCCTTCTCCACGGGGTCTTCCCAACCCAGGGATCAAACCCAGGTCTCCCGCATTGCAGGCAGATTCTTTACCAGCTGAACCACTAGGGAAGCCCTTTGTTAAATATATCATGTTGGAAAGAATTTTATGCAACCATTGCAGTCATATACTCATTGTTACGTTTCCTAGGGCCAGTGAATTGGGTTGCGCAGGAGAGCACCCCAGCATTGGTTTTAAAAAATGGTTGATGTTTTCTAACTGGAGGTAGCTTTGAGGTAGTGAGTCTACACATGAACTGAGCAGTCTGCCCACGGACAGTGGCAGTATGTGACCTCTGAGGAGGGTCAACTGGTAGGTGACAAGAGAGACTGTCTTAGAGAATCAAACAAGTGTGCTCCCTTCTGTCAGAGGAAGTGTGGAGGCATCTACGAAAAACTTTGAGGTCCAAAATATCTCCTTTCATAGGGACTGCAAATCTGATTGCAAATAAACAAGGTTTTATTTATTTAATGTATTTTTGTTCTATGGAAAGAACTAAGTGACATGGAAATTATAGCAAACACGGCAGATAGGCTCTAAGTTTTAAGCTTAAGAGATACTTAGAAATAAGGACAGTACAGTCAAACTCATCTTTGCCATTAAATTTTATGCATGTAAGAGACACCTTGTAGATATTTGTTAAACTGAAATACAGTTTACACTGCCTTTATTGAAAATTATTATAAAAAGTGAAAAATCTTTTGAAAATGCTGACCATAAAAACAAAAAGTTGGATGACTTCAGTGCCCTGTGTTCTAATGGAAGAATACCATCAATCTACCTTTGGAGTCTTCATACAAAAAGAATTAAAATATTTTCAGATTGAATGCGAATGAGTCTTTTCTACTTAACAGAATTTGAGCTTGGAAAAGTTGAAGTGATGATACTAAAAGAAGTGATTACACCTGCTTCTAATAGCTTTCTTATATAAACATGTATACCAACTGTGACTTGATAACAGTTTCTAATTCTTAAAATATTTTCTTTTAAATTAATAATTCATTTCCTTAGCTAAAGCAGTAGAAAAGGATCATCTTCATCTGTTTTGAAATAACTTTCCAAAGCACTTAATTTTCAGTTAATCAAAAGCCAGAACTCATACACTCTGTATGTGCAAATGCTCCTATCTATGCAACAGGACCCAAAATATTAAAGTATGACTTTTGCAACATTCCTGTTTTTCCTCCACCTTCAGCCTCTTCTAGGGAGATCGGTAAGATATTTTTGGATTTGCTGTGTTACGTTTCTTTTGTTGATAGGGATATGGGGTGGAGCGGCAGAAGCTGAGAAAAGAAAAAAGATGGGATGGAAGAATAAAGAGAAAAGAATCAAGGGGGTGGGGAAGAATGTTTAAAAAAGGAATAGAAAAATAAGACCTACTATTGATGAACATTTTGAAGTAACAGATTTAACTTACTTCTTTACAGAGTAGAAATTTGCTAGGAAAGATATAAAAATGGATTTTTAAGAAAATTGTGGTTGGGAGATAGGTAATGCAATTCATTCTTTATCACGTCAGAAGACCTATTACAGAAGACCTTCTGTAAAGACTGCTTTTCAAGGATTGAATTTGGATTTGTTTTTCATTCATGGGCTGAGATGGGCCTTAAAGCTGTTCAGGTGTTAGCTGGATAGATTTTAAGAGTAATTCAGGGTGAAAGAAGATAAATCTTTTTTTTATTATGACATTCATAATATTTATCAACAGTCATAATTCAGCACAAAAGTGCTATAATTCTTGATTCATGTTAAGCCAAGAGCTTTGCAACTTCTGATGGCTTTTTTAGTGTAATGATTTATATACTAAATCTCTGCATTGTTTTTACATTTTTTCTCAATTATGTCTTATCCTATGAGATAATGAGTGGACTATAGACTGGAAACTGACCACATAGACAATAAAATAATAATAGTTCCTCAACTAATCTTCAAAATCTAAAAAGCCCCTCAGTAACATAGACTAGGAAGTTTAATATAAAGCAGGTATATGAATATATATGCATATTTTAGTTATTAAAGATTATTTCTGAAGGCTGTGACTTATGGGAGTTACTCATTTTCTATTATTAAATTCTATGCTTATGAATATTAAACAGCTTTAATTAATGAATATGTACACTAGTAAATATCAAAATATTTCAGGTAAAATTTTCAAATCTGTGATTGGTAGGCAATAGAGAAACAGATATATTTATTTTTTAATGTTTCTGTTTAATCTTGAACATCTTGCTCTGACCATGATGAGGTTCAAATTTATACTAAAGATCACCATGCTTACACTTCTAAAAAATATAAATGTAACATAAATTTTAAAGAGGATTTGGGGTTAGAGAGAAGTGAAAAGGCAGTTTTATAATACCACAGAAAGATGTTTAGGAAGGGAAAAATGTATAAATTAACCAGATATAGAATAGAATCATTGGAGTTTTAAAGAAAAACAATTCTTAACAGAGATCTTTAATCTTGCAAGAACTGAATGCCCACCCCATAGACGTTTCAATACTTTATAGAATTTATTTAATCAAAGTATACAGATGTTGCTGACAGTGTCCTATGGAAGACCATAATTATTCTATTCCTTATCTTTCTAAATATGTTTTTGTTGCATTATAAAAATAAATATATATGATTAATAAATTTTATCTGTTTTACATCTGTTCTTATTTAATATATATTTGAAGATAGGTAAATATGGAAATTTTACATTTTCTCTAAATGTATCCAGATCTGTGTCAATGTATCAAGCAAACCACAGACAGCCTGCAAGTGAGGCATGATTGTGCAGGTGACCGCTAGAAAAATGTTGCTAGCTATTTCTGACAGACTTAAAAAGTGATGGATTTCCCACTTTGTTCTTTTTCAGTGTACTATAATGGATACTTTAAAGACTCTTCCTTCTATCTCTCTCTTTTTTTTTTAAATGAGAAAAATTTAGCTGTGGTTGACAAAAATCAGAAGACAAATCAGCAAAAGAAGTATATGGAAGGGCCTAGTCTAATGGGACAATCCACAAATCTTAAAATAAGGAAAAACAGGGACTCCTTTATGGCAAGAAAACTATTATCACCAAAAAAATATAATTTAGGTAGGAATTTGAGAATGTGGGTAGGGTACCTTTAGTTCCAAGATCAAATAAAACCTAATTTTTATATTAAACCAGTATCCTTAGACAACTTGCTCTTTTTTCTTCCCCTCTTAATACATTCTCGCTACTCTTCCACCTAGCACAGTAGTCTTTTTTTTTTTTTTTTTAGTTTCACAGGGAACATCTGATTTTATCATTGAATTTGTTCATAATACAGTACTGTTTTGATAAGCTGACTCAACTTAGTTCAATGAAAAGTATATTTGCCTGTTGCAGCCTCCAGAAGATTATGGCAACAACACACCTTAGCTGTATTTATATTTTTATGTTACTGTAGCAAGGATTCAGGTTGCACACAATTTATTTATGCTCTTTTTATACCTTCTTTGGTGTATGCAATGACATACTTGTACCTTGGAAGGTTTGGAAAATAGCTCAGCATGTTCATGTAACTTATTTTCATGAACAAAACAAAAATTCTTAACCTTGCAAAATGTACCAGTATTAGACTAGCTCTATGTGTTTATTTTCTTAGGCCACCATATAACTATCATAAAATTCTGTTTAAATTAAATCTTTTTACATTTTATCTAAGACTATACTCTTAGATCTTTTATTCAAAGCAATTCTGCTGAGAATAATTAATTTTCTCAATGCTTTGATAATTACTCTTGCAAATTTATGAAGATAAACCAAGGGAACAGTCATGGATTTATTCCATGCATCTTTCTATTTAAAGCCTCTAGAGCAATGGACTCACTCTTGGTCTTTCCAGGCGTGATCTTTATAATGCAGTAGAGAAACATATTGATAGTAAAAAAAAAATTCGATGGGAAAGCCTCTAAACTACCACCTACTATGACATATGAAAGACAGTATCAAGTTAATAATTTAAAAAAAGAGACAAACCAAGACTTAGAAGTTTTAGAAGCACAGTATGTTTCTCCCTCTCTCCCCCTGGATAACTCCCTTCTCACCATAGTCACACTTGAAAAGAATTCACTACATGAAATCATTGATCTTTTCTGCAAACAATTCTAACAATATCAGGCATCGACAGGTAAAGAATTGTAGAATAAAGTAACAATATGACCCACAGAGTTGAATATAATTATCTAAAAAATAAATATTCATGTAAGTTTGGAAAATACTTGATCACAAAACATGAAAGAAAGGTCAACTATTTCTTTTTCATCTACCATCAAACTCTAAATACATCTTTAACCCCAAATTCCTTTGGATTAAGTCCTTGAACACTTCTGAAATGCAGTTATACAAAGTTACACATCCATGCTGAGTTATTTACCACGTGTAGTGATAATCTGCAGTGCGCCAGGGTTTTATTTGCAGGTTATTCGGAGCGGAGCTATGAAGAGTGATTTTTAAATCCAGGTTGGAAGTATAAACAAAAGGTATGTGTGCCTGTAGCCTGAAGAGGAGACTGCAGTTTGTGAGGTGGTGTTTGGAGAATCAGAAGAGAGGGTAGTAGAGAGGATATCTTTCATTTTAGAAATACCGAGGCACAAAACAGAGGTGCTTGTAGTACTTTTACACATGAAACCCCTTCTCCTCTATGTGCATCATGTGTAAACGTAAAGTCTGTATACTGCTGACTATTCGTCTCTGGTGTCCAATGAGTATGACGCCAATTCTTCTAATATCACTGTGAGAGATTGAGAGACAGAACATGAACATTTAGGTCTGGTAAGTATGGCAGAGAGGAAAGACACATTTGGATATAGGAAACGAGCACATATCATATTTGCCACAAATTTCATATCTGGTAAAATGAATGTGGAAGCAGAGATATAAATGGACAACAGGAATTTGTTACTTTATTCTTTACACTGGTGCCAGAGAATGCGTCAAGTTGACTTCAAGTTTAAAGGTACAAAGAATTCAGGTACCGATGTCATGTTCAGACATTTTGTAAGCCCGGGGGATTTATGCAAATAAATAAATTTCTAACAGTGTTAGCAAAATAGTCAGCATGCAGGATAGAAAATATAATGTGAACTCCATTTGAATTGCCGTGGTCTTGGTCTTTCAATAATCTGAAAAAATGCCACTGTATCATGTTGAACAGTATGAAATTGCTATTACTATTAATATTTTAAAACAATGGCAATTTCACATGGTCAACCTACTAGTTTTAGTTATCTGTCTTTTAAACATATGTTGAGTATTTTCACTGCACTCAGGAAATGATAGTCTTTGAGAAAGTGGAAAAATGCCAGACCATTGTAATATAGAGACAAAACTCTGAGAAAACATAATATTATATTATTACAATTTTAATATTTGATGAATGTAATAGTAATTGATTTAGTGTACATGAATCATAAATAATTTGCTGAGGTAAAACTATATTGATGCAAAGTCTATGATGTGAACAAGAGTAATATGCATTTTATACAGCATCTAAAATCTTTAAATAATTATTTGAATTAAACACATTCTTTCAAAGGAAAATAGTTAAAAGTGTAATGCCCAACTTTCACTAGAATGATTATCAGAAATGGTGAGGACAGATATGGAAATGCCATACTAGTGTCAGGAAAGGTAGTTTAACTATGGTATTCTTGATAAAGAAATAGTATTTGAATTTATAATCTCCTAAGTGGACATCTGAGTATAGTAACAAACCCAGCCCACTTACTCAATGCTCATTCTTGAAATCAGGTCAAAAGTTGTAAACCCCGCTGCCATGAAGTTATTCTTATATTGCCCCATCTTTATAGAATCCAGCCAGTCACCGACTGTCACAAACAAAGGATATTCAGGAACTTCACCAGGGGAGTCTGGCATTCTATAAGGAAAAAAACAAACAAGCATGGAGACCATTTAAAAAACAGATAAAGCAAAAAATACCCAACTTTATTTTTAATTTTTACAATATTCTCACATCAAATGTTTCATCCTCCATAGAACTACATTTAAAAATGTTCCATCATATTCAAATCAGCCACTTTTATCTGGTCAATTTCACTTGTCAGTTTCTTTTGTCTTTTCCTACTTTTTGCCACTACTAGGTCTTTATACTTGAGGTGTCTTGAGAAAGCCTGTATCTTGCTAAAAATCTCTTTACTTTTTTCTCTTGCATGAAATTGTGCTTTCAAACTTGAAGAAAAGCCCCCCCAAAAGATAACTAGCCACAGGCTATTCACTTATACACTTTCTGACCTTCCATTGAATTCATGCCCTATTGCCTTTTTCACATTTACTATGAGAGCCCTTTCTCTTTTTTATGGTGAATTTATAGGTTAAGACCTCATTTATTCTCAACCATTCAACAAAAATTTATTATTTATTAAAAAGTAATTTCTGTTGTCACAGAGCTCAATTTCATGAATAAGATTGACATATATGCAAGCACAGGGTAATACAGCCAAAAGCACAGACATTAATGAAGCACAAAACTAAAGAAAATCAATGACATTTGGGGTTAGCAAGAAAAAAGAGTCTGCCATGGATGGGTCTTACAGTAAGTGATATGGAAATCTGTGGGGCTTCCCAGGCGGCACTAGTGGTAAAGAGCCCGTCTGCCAATGCGCGAGACTTAAGAGGCTAAGGTTCAGTCCCTGGGTTGGTAAGATCCTTTGCAGAAGGGCGAGGCAACCCACTCCAGTGTTCTTGTCTGGAGAATCCCATGCACAGAGGAACCTGGTGGGCTACAGTCCATGGGGCCAAAGAGTCGGACACGACTGAAGCGACTTAGTTCACGTGTATGGCAATCTGTATTTCTGTTCTTATGATCTGATGCAAAGGGTATTTCAGTTGGGGACATTTTTGAAGTTTTAATATAAAAATAATATAAAAGTTTTATTTTGAAAAGGCTAGTGAATGTGTGTATATATAGATACATATGTCTATATACACAAAACTAGTTTTATATAAGCTAAAGTCAGATATAGAGAATAAAAGCAGAAATAACCTTAGAAATTGTAGTAAAAATAACTCAGAATTGTATATTTAAGATATTCTAATAATAAACTATATTGTTTACCTTACTGAAATACCTGAAAACTAATATTAAAAACATTTTGTATGGTGTTAAAAATAACTGATATGAATGCTTTTATAATAATAACAATAAATGTGCTTTATCATCCCTTTAGGATAATAAGTATATTATTTTGAAAATTATTAGGTCTAGAGTTTATACCAAATGATAAAGCAGTAACATTTTTTTATGTCTGGTGTTTGAGTCAATCAGTATTTTCTAAGTAATAAAAAATTTCCCACCACAAGTAAATTACTGAATTATTTTTGTATTGAATATTGAAGGATAATCCAACTCTCATTTACTTTGCTTTTAATTTTTTATAAAGTTTAAAGGATAACAGAATCCAGAGACTTAACTAGAGCCATTTTTTAATATTTATATTGTGAATATTTCATCATAATAGTTTTCAAATATTATTCATATTTGAACTATTTCATCTTAAAATACAAACCAATAACACATGAGCACATATGATTAAACCATATGAATAAGAATTCCTCCACTAAAGCAGAATGGCATATGCAAGTTATATAAGCCTAGGATTGATTTGTGCTGAGGTTTGACAGAAAACAACAAAATTCTGTTAAGTAATTATCCTCCAATTAAGAAATAAATTAATTTTAAAAAAAGTATATGAGAGTTGGAGTTAAACTCTAAGGTCAATATATAAGGTGAAAATGGAAACTCTTGAACAACCAAAATTACCCTTAAAAATCCTTTAAATTACCCTTAAATCACCAGAACCTGGATCTTTAAGGAGCACAAAAGCCAGAGACGTAATACACATACAGCTTGTATACTGTATGACTCCTGAAGGCCCTGAAAGTTGCCCCTTGGAATTATTTAGGACAAAGTTCCTACTAAAGACCTAAAATTCACTTCTGATTTTTCTTTGATTTTATATTGACTTCTATTTTTCTGAACTGGATTCTAGCTGAAGGTGGGCATGGGGTGAAGAAGGATGACAGGGAAATTCAGGGATTATTGCTCTTTCTACATAGCTAAAATCTGCATAAACTAATTGCACTTGTGATTGTGATTGTACAGTGTTGTAGTCCATATGGAGTCTGGTGACACTTCATCGTGACTTCTTTTTACAAGTACTTGATTCTGTTACCATATTTCCTATTTTGGCGGCTGTTAAGTCACATTTTCCTGTACTAAAAATGGCAATGCTATTTGATTATGGACTGTTTCATTCTAATTAATATCAGAAGGATTCAAGACAAAGTTTAGTTATGTTCAAAAGTTGAAAGATCTCATGGCATCTATCAACAGGCACTTTAACTGTCCTTAAAGGACATAAAATGGAGAAAGGTCACAGAAGGACATTCTGTACACTAAATGACTTAAATGGCCAATTTGTCTGTTGAAAAGCAGCCACTGTTTGCTCTTGGACTGTTTCAACACTGTAATTCCTGTTCCCTCCGCGCATCTTTAGTAACCTAGTTACTCTTTGGCCTTTATACGGCTGCATTGGCAGTTGATTTAGTAAGGTCAAGGTCCCCTCATTGTTCACAGCCACCGTGCAATAACTTTTCTTTCACCTTACCTTATAATGAAGTTGAAAAAATGCTGCTATTTTCTGGCTTTGAGGGCTGGGTACCATCACCCTCACATGAATTCTCTGGAATATTACCTAATAAACAATAAATGCCCTTTCTTATCAACCATGTACAATGATAAACTCAGTCTGCTATTTGCTGAGCATGTAGAAATTTCTGCTATTGGGTGATTAGTGGGAGCTGTCCACCTGAGAAATGTCTTTACAGCAAAACCTGCAGCTATGTAAAAAAAGGTACATACTGTAGAACAGAAGGTCAAAGGTCTCCTACTTTCTTCAGAAAAATGAGGAGGGAGCACAATTAGAGGAAAGTCTACCAGGTATAAATTATGGTCAATTTAGATCAGAGAAAGGGTTGGAGTATAGCTAGAAGAGGTAATGGTATAGTTAAAGGTACAATAAACATATTCTCAGTACATCTAAATATGTAAAAATGAATGGAACTGATAGCTGAAAAGTTTTTATTCTAACAGGCCCTTTGAGTTTGTAATAGTACTGGTATTTTAATTTAGAAAGTTCTTAGGTTACCAGTAGGTATCAAACTACCATTAAAAAGCAGGGAGGTCCATGGCTAATTCATTTCAATGCATGACAAAAACCACTGCAATGATGTAAAGTAATTAGCCTCAAACTAATAAAAGTAAATGGAAAAAAAAAAAAAAATTGACAGAAGTCCCTTTTCNGAGGAGACCAAACCAATCAATCCTAAAGGAAATCAACCCTGAATATTCATTGGAAGGACTGATGCTGAAGCTCCAATACTTTGGCCATCTGATGTGGAGAGCTGACTCATTGGAAAAGATCCTGATGCTGGAAAGATTGAAGACAAAAGGAGAAGCAAGTGGCAGAGGATGAGATGGTTAGAAAGTATCGCTGACTCAATGGACTTGAGTTTGAACAAACTCTGAGAGATGGTGAAGGACAGGGAAGCCTGGCGTGCTGCATTCCATGGGGTTGCAAAGAGTCGGACACAACTTATCAACTGAACAACAATAGGTTTCAATAGAGTGAAGGGTAGGAAATTAAAGGCGAGGGAGACAGCACAGGGTTAGCGGACCTAGAATCACAACAACATTTACTTTATTCAGAATCACTATTTTTACATGAGTTTATCATCTCATGACCAAGGGACTACACTTCACATTATTTAGTGAATCCATAAAACAATCTGGCTTCCCTCATACTCAGCTGGTAAAGAATCTGCCTGCAATGCAGGAGCTCAGACTAGATTCCACGGTTGGGAAGGTCCCCTGGAGAAGGAAATGGCAACGACTCCAGTATTCTTGCCTGGAGAATCTTATGGACAGAGGCAGGCAGACCCCCTGTCCATGGGGTCGCAAGAGTCAGACACAGCGACTAAACCACCACCAAATAAAACAGTCTACTACGCACACTATCTACCTATCTTTTGAAGGAAGAATTTATCTAATTAGATAAAAAAAGAAAACATTGCCCTCCCTATAATTAGGCCTAACTGTCAACTTGCAAACAAGCTCAATTAATGAAAACTTTTGATATTCTTTAAAAATTTCAGAGTGTGATTTTGCCCAAGATGTTATAAAAATCCTAAATGCATAGAACCATGCCATAAATCTTGTGACTATTGCATGCTTTTGGGCAATATCTCTTTGTTCCAAATAATCTGACTCTCCACAGTGCTAAATTTGGAGCATGATTTATTTTTTGTCAGCCTTTTATTTTCAGTAAGTCATCAGGTTTTTTTAATTGACATTATTCAGTTCTCATAATAAGGATGATAACTGGTAAAATCTATGAAGGAAGGAAATTCAAAGCAAATTTGAAAATTATGTTGTTCTTCAGTTTAAAATTAGAGATATGTTTGAATATTAGGAAGGATAGATACAGGGTAGAAGTAATATTGTTTAACTATTTCCCACATTCTGAGTATAGTTCTCAGCATACGGTCACTACACTCTGAGTAATATCACTGGACCTCAAGGAGAGTCCATTTTTATATGTAAATAATTCCCGATGGCTCAGTGGGTAAAGAATTGGTGTGCAATGCAGGAGACCCAGGAGACTCAGGTTCGATTCCGGGGTTGGGAAGATCCTTTGGAGAAGGAAATGGCCACCCACTCCAGTATTCTTGCCTGGAAAATCCTGTGGACAGAGGAGCCTGGCAGGCTACAGTCGATGGGGTCGCAAAGAGTCAGACACGACTGAGCAACGGAGGACACATGGAGGGACAGAAACAGATTTCATTTCACACGTCAACAACAATTCATTGCCAGCGGTAATCAAAACGTGGTCTTAAAAAGGACACAGAGGCAGCATCCGGGCTCTGTGAGAAAGTAATGTTTGCCATAACAAGGAAAAGAAGCAGAGCAGATATTTGCCAATACTGGAAAAATTCAATCTACAAAAATGCCTGAGGATGTAATTCTGGAACTATGAGGCTGCTACGTTTTCTCCATTTCTTTACTTTGTTGTAGTTACTATTTTCTTTTTTCAAGTAATGTTCTTCAAGTGGCCAAGCACTGCAAGAGGATGTGGAAGGAATATATAGACAATGTGTTTCCTTCTTATGTCCATGAGAGGGCATATTTATGTTCTATATCCTTGTATTTGCTTAGCAGAACAAATAACAGGCTGTGCATTGCTACAAATTCTTTTTGGAACTTTTATACACTTCATCTATGAAGTCTGAGAAGTCCAAATAACATTTATCTGGAGATGCAAAAAGGTATCTTGTTTTCCAATAATCATATTTCTGAAACTGAAGTACTGGAAAAAAAATCTCACATTTTTGGATGACTGTATACTCTGCAGTGGAAAGAACAGGCTTTGCGGTTGGTAGCCCTCACTCATATGCCTGACTCAGTAATTACCTGCTGCATGTTGTTGCTGTTCAGTCATTCAGTTGTGTTTGATTCTTTGCAACCCCATGGACTGCAGCACGCCAGGCTTTCCTGTCCATCACCAACTCCTGGAGCTTGCTCAAACTCATCTCCAATGAGTCCATGGTGCCATCCAACCATCTCATCCTCTGTCATCCCCTTCTCCTCCTGCCTTCAATCTTTCCCAACATCAGGGTCTTTCCCACTGAGTCAGCTCTTCGCATCAGGTGGCCAAAGTACTGGAGCTTCAGCTTCAGCATCAGTCCTTCCAATGAATATTCAGGGTTGATTTCCTTTAGGATTGACTGGTTTAATCTCCTGGCAGTCCAAGAGTCTCTCAAGAGCCTTCTCCAACATCACAATTCAAAAGCATCAATTCTTTGGCACTCAGCCTTCTTTATGGTCCAACTCTTGCATCCATTCATGACTACTGAAAAACTATAGCTTTGACTATATGGACCTTTGGTAGCAAAGTAATGTCTCTACTCTGCTTTTTAATACGCTGTCTAGGTTTGTCATAGCTTTTCTTCCAAGGAGCAAGCGTCTTTTAGATTCATGGCTGCAGTCACCATCTGCAGTGATTTTGGAAAGAAATCACCAAGAAAATAAAGTCTGTCAGTGTTTTCATTGTTTCCCCAGCTATTTGTCATGATGTTAGTTTTTTGAATGTTGAGTTTTAAGGCAGCTTTTAAACTCTTCTCTTTCACCTTCATCAAGAGGCTCTCAGTTCCTCTTTGCTTTCTGCCATAAGGGTGGTGTCATCTGCGTATCTGAGGTTATTGATATTTCTCCTGGAAAGCTTGATTCCAGCTTGTGCTTCATCCAGCCCAGAATTTTGCATGATGTACTCTGCATACAGGTTAAATATGCAGGCTGACAATATACAGCCTTGACATACTTCTTTCCTGATTTGGAACCCGTCTGTTGTTCCATGTCCAGTTCTAACTGTTGTTTCTTGACCTGCATACAGGTTTCTCAGGAGGCAGGTTAGATGGTCTGATATTCCCATCTCTTTAAGAATTTTCCACAATTTGTTTTACTCCACACAGTCAAAGGCTTTAGTGTAGTCAATGAAGCACTGACTTCTCATTTCAATTCCAGAATTGAATGAGAATTTCTGGAATTCTCTTGTTTTTACTATGATCCAACAGATTGTTGGGAATTTGATCTCTCGTTCCTCTGCCTTTTCTAAATCCAGCTTGAACATCTGGAAATTCTCAGTTCACGTACTGTTGAAGCCTAGCTTGTAGAATTTTGAGCACTACTTTGCTAGCATATGAGATGAAAGCAATTGTGCAGTGGTTTGAACATTCTTTGGCATTGCCTTTCTTTGGGACTGGAATGAAAACTGACCTTTTCCAGTCCTATGGCCACTGCTGAGTTTTCTAAATTTGCTGTGTACCCTAGGGAAATTTAGCCTCTTTTGAGTTTCTGATTTCTCACATGAAGGATGGAGATAACAGGATTAAATGACATGACAGATAAACATGCCTAGTACAATGACTGGCTCATAGTAGGTTCTCAACAAACAGCAGTAATAATTACTGTAGATAATGATGATAGTAATTTCTATCAGTATTAGCATTGATATTGGCATCAGTATTATTATCATATTGCGGCAACAGTTCATGTGAGTGTTGAATTTAGATTTTCTAATGCGTAGAAGTTTCACACTTCCTGATTAATATTTAATAGTCTGTCTTTCATCCACAAAGCTTTGCTTATCACTCAGTTGCATTGGTTTTGGCCAGCCTGTGATTTCTCCGTCATGAGAAACAACATTAAAAGTACTAGTTATAAAAATTAAACAGAACAAGTTGTCCATTACTTGGTTTATAAACAATTTAATAAGTGGGAATTATGGATAGCCTAGGCAGCACTTAGCAAGATGTTTTAAAAAATGAATGGAAGCATTTATATCAAACTGTTGAAAGTTATTGCCCTCAGAAGACAGCATTATAGGTGCTTTATTAATCGGATGGAGGGAGGTAGTACAATTTTTCCTTATAATGTTTACTTGAAGTTCTCTAAAGCAGATGATATTGATTTGAGCTTTTCCCTACCTTCATGGTTCACACATCACTGGAAATCAAGTGCTTGAAAGTCCAACAGTTGACTTATATGTACTGAGGCAAGTGGTGGTTCCAGTTCCTAAGAACTTAAATATTATAAAATCTTTAACTATGGCCCAGCAGGTAATGAGAATATTCCTTTCTGCCTTGGCTTGGGTGCAATATGATTTCTGTCATGGACTGGTCCATCTGGTCAAATGCTGCCTTTTTCTGAACGCTACCTTATAGCTGATGCTTTCAAGGAGCCCATAATCTGTAAAATTATCTGTGACATTCTGGTGATCTGGAGCAGGGACCGGAAGAAAGAGCTATTTTCCTATTGCACCGCAGTAGTGTCCAAAATGGCACTGGCCCGCTGACGTCTGCCTAATGCACTCAGCGGGTTCTGGTGTAGAGAGGAAACAGGGCTAGGGCGTGAAGAGGTTGGAGGGCGAGTGTGCAGGACAATGTGGGTGGGGTGTGGAGTGACAGCCACTTCTTACTATTAAACTATTGGGCCAGATGTAACTCTGGATTCCATGGTAATATGCGTGCTTGGGGTTGAGAGTAACTCTAAGACTGATCCTGAGGGTCAGGGGAAAGGGAGTGTTTCAAGGGGCATGGGCAGGCACTGCTCCTATTGCCATTCTCTATGGAGCCTTGGCCTCAAGCTGGGTCTTTCTCCAGGGGCTGGGAATCATGTGACAGCTACAGATACTTCTTTGAAAAGAAGTTATAAGATATCACTGTACTGTGAATGAAAGTGAAGGTATCTTGAAATTCATTCATGAAAGGATGACTGCTTATATTACCAAGGTACTTTCTCAAATTATTTTTTACAATCAATTGGATTTAAGTCTATACTTGTAATATCACTACATTCACCTATATATCCACATACTTTCTTGAGTAGGCGAGAAAGTAAGAAGACTGGGGATTTTACAGTGCTCTGAATACTCCCATGGCGGTATGTCAGGCACAAGAAAGTCAGCATTATTTGGAGTGGCTGTTTCAAATAATAAAAGCCTTCTCTGACCAATGATTTTTTTCTATTGGGTATTCTGTCTTTTGAAAGAAAAATTAAGGATTATGAAATTTCCAGTATCACTCATATAAAATTATTAAGCTGTGGGTTTCAGCCTTCCTCCTCCTTTTTCATCACCTTAATTTTTTTCCCTATTACTACACTGTCAAGAGAACAGATAAAAGCTTCTTGGGTGAATTCTTGAGAAAAAAAGCAATTAGAGTGGAATAAAAACCATGGGGACCTAGTGGGTGAGAGAGTTATGTCAGTGCAGGCATGTGAGAGAACCTTGGAAGCTGGGGGATCGTAGAGAAAAGGAGATACAGGGGAATTTAATAGGAGCTGCTGTGGATTATACTCTTAGACTCCTTCACCTTTTTGAGATGTACATTGGAGGACAGACTGCAATTCTGTCCTCTGCTCCAACACGTCTCCTTAGTCTAACATCACTCGGCGAAGGGAGACTAGATTTGGAATTTTTGGGATGGAGGGGCAATGTTATGGCTTTGTAAGCATCAAACAAAGCAGGCATCCTGTTGCTAACACTGCCGTCCTTCAACCTACCACATCTCTTTACCCCAGGCAGCCTTAGTGCTCTAGGATCAGGGTGGGTGGATGGCACTGGAAGTGAGGGCATGGAAATTGTTAACTCAGGCTGCTTTGAAAACAAGAATGCTGACAAAGGTTCAGGCATGATACCCATATAACTCTGGTTCCTTTTGTTTTCCAACAAAAGTATACTGAGAACAAAATCTGTAGCATACATGTCTTTGTCAGAAACAAGGAGAACAAATCAGTCATAAAGACTTCCAACTGGACCCCCAAAGATTAGCATTTAGAACTCAATTAAAACTGCTAACTTTCTATAAAGCCCAGCTCCTGGCCTGCCTGTGATGTGCCATCATGGAGCCTGCCTTTCTCTGGCCTTATTGCACATACCCCGTTAAACCACAATGCCTAGCCCTCAGATACCAGCCCTCATATGGACTTGACCTCTGGATCATTTGTACTGTTTGGTATTCTCTCATCTTAGAGTCGTTATCATTATTTCCCAAATATTATGAACATTTATTATCTTGAAAAAGCAGGGAAGAATTCTTTATCTGCTTTTCTTCAAAAAGAAGGCTCTTACCTGCCCGGTTCTACAGTCATAGAACAGTCAGAGAGCTCCGCCGGCGGGCACTGGCTGTGGAGTCCATTCACCCTGCACGAGACGCCCAGATTGAATCATTTCAGACTCAGTCCACATCCTAGCAGCACTGTCTCCCCAACATCAAAGCATACTTGTCTCTTCAATAAAAACATATAAAAATAAAGCCCAAGAAACACTTTTTCCAACTACTTCTTTTTCTCTTCAGAGACAGATTTTTTGAGAAACCAGTATTGGACGTGGTACTTGGTATTGCTCTTCCCTCTGACCTCGTGTCCACCGCTCCCCCATCATGTCTGTCTTACACAACGTTACTGCAAACGCATTTGCAAAGGCCACCTGTGAATTCCTAAGTGCAGAGTTGTTCAATCCAATGGACACACTTCATTTTTATCTTACTGGTGCTTTGTGGAGCCTGGGACATTAAACTCCTTGGAACTGTTTCCCTTTCTGGCTTCTACAATTCTGCTCCTTCCTACTTTCCTCATTACCTGTCTGATTGTTTTTTCTCTGTCTCCTTTGCGTACTTCTCCGCAGGTCAGTTCTTAACTCTTGGTGTTCCAGGGGGTGACATTCTTCCTGTTTCTCTGCCCTGACCTTTCCTAGGTTGGCTTGCTGCCAAATTTGACAGTCCCTGCTTCCAGTCTTGATCCTTGTTTCACACTTTCAGTTTAAATCAGCCCTGGAGTGATGTTTCAGAAATGCAAATGTGATCAGGCTGTTCTCTCGCTTAAAATCCTTCAAGGGCTGCCCACTGCTTTTATGATAAAATCCAAAGTGGCACCTCCACCCCACCCTCATCACTCCAGTTTCCTGTGCTGGACTGCTTGAGGGAAGACGGCTAGAGTAATAGTTTAATCTCTAGCTATTTCATGCTTGGCTTCACTTTACTGAGGCTGCCAATTAATGATTTAGAGGTGAACTCTTCTGTACTCTGCTGTGAACTGAGGCTTGTTTTGAGTCCTTGAAGAGCCTTTGGCCTTATTGTCACTCAAACCGGCATTGACTTGAACTTCTGACCTAAAGCTGAACATGTGCATAGCCTATTGGCCATCCCCTGAGTCAGGAAAGTGAGCTTTGAATGTGCTTTGGTTATGTTTAAGTCCAATTTGGTCTAAATTAAGAAATGTATTTTCAACTTGATAGTGTTTTAAATGTAGTATGTTCAGACATAGGTGGTAGTGTTGTGTTTTTTTTTTTTTCCTCCTGTTCTACTCGCCCTCTTATAATTGCTTTTCAGAGAGGAGTGAGTAGATCTTCTCAACTCTACTGACTTTTATAAAATGGGAGATGAACTCCTGCATTTTCTTGTCTTGTCATCTGTCTTTTTCTAGTTTTAGCAATGGAAAGGAACAACAGCTGGATGTGATCATATCAGCAGGAAACATCCTAGTTTCTGGCTGATTCACAAATTGTCCCTGTCTTGCTTGCCATTTCAAATAGAGGGACAGAATACTGAATGGACAAGAAAATTAAAGGGGCTGCACACACACACACACACACATGCACACATTCTACTTATAAGGAAAAATCAGGGAATCAAGAAAGGAATTATACATACTATAGACCCACACAGGAAAAAATATTTAAAAAGGGATTCATAAAGATTAGATATGGAGAAACAGAAAGGGGGAACCTGCTTTCTTGTGGAAAAAAATCATTTTTAAAAAAATATTAATAAATTGCTTTTTCAGCTGATAAATATGGCTTACATAAAATAGCCTAAAAAGTCGACAACCAAGACAGTTATCAAGGCAAACTTTCTCCTCTTTACCTGTTAGTCTTGTCTGCAGCCTGAAAGAAATCATGATTGTCAAGGGGGAAAATCAACATTATGCGTCTTACACAAGGATGTCCTCTACCAGGGTGTGGAGGGCACTGGGATTGCGGATCAGTTTGTCAAGGAAGCTGACAATGTCAGTAAATTTTGGTCTGTGATTTCTCTCCTTCTGCCAGCAGTGGAGCATCAGCTGGTGTAGAGATGCCGGACAGCCCATGGGAGCCGGGAGTCTGTAACCTTCTTCAATGGACAGGATGACCTAAATGCAAACACACACAGGTTATCCTCTTACTTCTGGGGACAAACAATACACACACCAAGTTATAATTCCTTTTATACAGGAAGTGGAAGCTAAAACATTGGTAAGCATGAAAACTACTTGTGAGTGTAGGTAGTCTAGACAAGGATAAATACAAAAATTGTGAACAAGAATTACAAGCATCTTAGTAGCATCTGCTGACTCCTCTTGAGAGGAAAAATATGTTTTTTAAACTTGTGGTATAGAGATGAGAGGTTAAATTTCATCACAATGTCCAGAAATAGTTTTTGTGTGATTTAGCTGGAATGTCTCAAAACCCAATTAGGACATCAGAAAGTCAGCCTAATATGGATTTAGTAAAAAACCATATGTGACAAATGTTTTAGTAAAACTGTACTTCTGCTGAATTCCTGAATCACTTTTTATTCTTTTATAATAATGTCAGTGCATATTCTTTTTGCAGCCATCCTTCCTTCTTTCTTCTTTATTTGCCATTTAATTCCTCTTCACTTACTTCTGGCTTTCCCCTAGTCTCACACTGACATGATTATGAAGTCCTTCCAGAATTTCTAAGGTCATTTAATCTGTGAAATGCTATCAGTGTTCAGTTTAAGACCACAGAGCAACAGGACATTTAGCCTGAGTATCCTCTGGGCTAGCACTCTCTAACAGAACTTTCCATGATGACAGAAATACTCCTTCTGTTCAATGTGGTAGCAAGTGGTCACGTGGCTACTGAGCACTTGAAATGTGGCTAGTAAAAGTGAGGAGCTGAATTTTACTTCCAGTTAATTTTAATTAACTGAACTTACATTTTAAATAGCCACAGGGGCAAGTGGTTACTATATGGGACAAAGCAGCCCTAGGGAAAGGAATCTCTGTAAAGCCAAAGTTAAGAGTAACAACAAGATGACAATAATTTTATTTTATTTTTTTTGGTACTTAAGAAATCACATACAAATAAGGTAAGATATTTACTATTTATCTGTTTAATACATAACCCACTGGAATTTCCTAATCATGCAGTAAAATTGACCTGGAATTTATGTAGTTTATTTTTAAATGAAGAGTTCGAAAGAATTCATGTAACTATTCTTACATTATCTCTGGCGGAAAGACAAAAAAAGGGTTTATTTTTGTATTTTTGATGGAAAACTGAGGGACAGACTGATATTTAAAGAGAAGCAATCTCACCTCTTCCCCATGCCAACAACAAAAATACAAAAATGCAAATGTAAATACTGTTATCAGTGTTCTCTTTATTGTAGTACCCTCTATGCATTTTCACTTTCTATAATTAAAAAATAAACTCATTTTCTTTTTTATGTGACACCATATGACATGACTCTAAGATATCAATAATTTATGCTAGAAGTAGTCTGTAAAAAGAAGCAATAATAGGCTGCAGGAACCTCCTCTTAACTGCTAAGCTTAGCTTTTTAGTAAAAGGGAATTTTTCATAATCCCATCAGTGTCTTCGTGACCAGAACACTTTAACCTATCAGAATACTAGATTTTTTTCCTGTTCATTTTATATCTATTATTAAATATGATGTTTTTTCTTATCTGTTTTCTGACTATTTTTGCTACTGACTAGGCCTGAATTTTAACACATTTTGCAACACATTTTAGTAAAACAGGGGATGTATAAAAATGCTTGTAATGCACCAAAACTACTGTGGATAGCTTTAAAAAGTATCTAAGAAAAATAGGATAGAATTCCATTATAGAAAGACTTTAAAATCCCACCCCAGGAGACCTCTCTAGGTAATTTCAGAGTTACCTAATTATAAGTGCATAGAATAGATGACAAGTGAAGTTATAGTCTGAGAAAAAAATTAGCTGCCTTTATTAAGCATCATGTGCTAAATGCTTTGCATATTTTTTCATTTACTGCTTAAAATAACTCAGTATGGTAGTTATTATTATCCCTATTCTTAAATGAGGGAATTTAGACTCAGATAAGTTAGGAAACTTGCCTAAATTCACACAGCATAGGTAGCAGAGTTGAAATATGAACTTAGTTCCTTACAGCTTCCAAACTTGTCCTCTGCCTATTCCCCAGGAATGCTTTTCAATTCTCATGAAAATGTCTTCCTCTCCTGTTTTTTTTTTCCCCCTCCCCTGTTTAATATCAATTTTAGGAGTGATGGTTACCATTTTATCTTTTGTTGTATATCTGCTAACTGGACTTCAAATCCAATCCTAAGTTTTATAATAAGGATAAATCAAAAACATATTTACTTCATAGTTTTCAAAATGTAATCCCTGGCTGAACAGAGTAGTTTCTGAATGCTTCTGAGTCCTGTACACATTTCTATTATTGCATTTATTACACTGTTTTATAATTTTTCACCTGCTTCTGCTCAGGTGAAATACACTTGAAAGCAGGAATTTCATCTCTATATTTTTGTATATTTATCCCTAATTATGGTACCTGATGCAGTAATAAATGTTATTGACCCAAACAAAGGCTATTAGAGGAAATTTTGGGATCTGTCTTGATATAGGAGCAGATTCTTAGAAAATCGAGAGTTTCAACCACCCAAGAGGGTTTCAAAGCAGAAGCAAGTCAGCATTTGAAGTGCCTCAGAAAGAAATATTCACAAAAAATTGGCACATCAAGCAGTACTGTTCAAAATGATCTCCTGATTTCTCTCTGGTTTGGCTGGACAATAAGCCAAGTGAGACTGGGCCATGTTCTTCTCTAAGACAAAGGCACTGGACCCAAAGTCAGATTCCTATAAAGACTGGTGGCTTTTTCCTCCTGTCCAGAAGGTTTACTGTTTCCCATGACCCAGACATCCTTAGCTGCTGGAGAGCTGACTTTTCCAGACTCCTGTAAACAGTTGACACCCAAATCCAGATTGTCTGGTGCCAAGCAAGCTGTCTATTCTCTTTTGACAAAGTTCTCATGAGTATCCTGTAGGAAGAGACAGTGACAAGAAAGTGGGGTCCTTCACCTGGAATCTTTATCCACAATGTGTTCAGCAAGTGTCTAATCCCACCATGCCTTTCCGTGGGGATACTGGGAGACGTGGGGACTCATGACATTTCTCCTTGCTAACCTCTAAGTTTAAAGTTCTCCCTGTTCTTTAACTTGTGACTTTGTGAAATTTGTCCTGAGCCCTGGCTCATGACAGATGTCAATCATGAAGGTCCCACCTTACAGGAAATGCTAATAACAACAACAGTGACAATAATAATTACTAATAATATTGAGAGCTCTTGACTACTTCCAGGTGCCATTTCTAAGTGATCTACATGTGTCAACTCTTTTAATCTTCATAGTAATATTATGTGGTAGGTACTATTTTTATCCCCAGTTTACAGACAAGGAACGTAAACACAGAGAAGTTCAACTGGCAAACACTACACACCTAAAAGTTTTGAATTAGAAGGGAGCTAGAGAAGAGACTTGAGCAATATGATTCACAAAATGGTTAAAATGTACAACATATTTCTAATGGATTTTTTATTTGTCCAAAGAGATAAAGACTCATCACTTAAAATGTGCTGTTAAACATACCATGTATAAGGGATAGCATAATGAGTAAGAAACATCTCTGTCTTTAGGAAATGGATAATCTAGTGAAGGTGACCAAGGAGTCTGCCTATGGAACATGCCATGTAGAACAGGGAGTCATGGAAACTTGTCAGAAGAGTACCTGTCTGAGCCTCTGGGAGAGGACACCGCCTGAATGTAGAAGGTAGCAGGGTCCGTTAGATTAGATGGCTTAAAGCTCAGCATTCAGAAAATGAAGACCAAGGCATCTGGTCCCATCACCTCATGGGAAATAGATGGGGAGACAGTGGAAACAGTGTCAGACTTTATTTTTTGGGGCTCCAAAATCACTGCAGATGGTGACTGCAGCCATGAAATTAAAAGATGCTTACTCCTTGGAAGGAAAGTTAAGACCAACCTAGATAGCATATTAAAAAGCAGAGACATTACTTTGCCAACATAGGTTGGTCTAGTTAAGGCTATAGTTTCTCCAGTGGTCATGTATGGATGTGAGAGTTGGACTGTGAAGAAAGCTGAGTGCTAAAAAATCGATGCTTTTAAACTGTGGTGTTGGAGAAGACTCTTGAGAGTCCCTTGGACTGCAAGGAGATCCAACCGGTCCATCCTAAAGGAGATCAGTCCTGGGTGTTCATTGGAAGGACTGATGCTAAAGCTGAAACTCCAGTACTTTGGCCACCTCATGTGAAGAGCTGACTCATTGGAAAAGACCCTGATGCTGGGAGGGATCGGGGGCAGGAGGAGAAGGGGACAACAGAGGATGAGATGGCTGGATGGCATCACCGACTCGATGAACATGAGTTTGAGTAAACTCTGGGAGTTGGTGATGGACAGGGAGGCCTGGCGTGCTGCAGTTCATGGGGTTGCAAACAGTCGGACATGACTGAGCGACTGAAGTGAACTGAACTGAAGAGAGATGTGATCTAACTAGGGAATTAATGTAGATTTCTGTAACTAGACCAGATTCTTCAAAGAGAAGAATGGTGAGGTTTGAGGCTGGAAGGTTACATAAAAACTATGTTTCTTAAGATCATGAATGATTTTGCATGCTATAAACACAGACTGTATGCAAAAGGGAGAAGGGTTTTGGCAAGTAGATGGTATTAGATTCACCTGTTGGAAGCTCACTCTGGCTGCATTACGAAGAGTGGGACGATAGGGAAGGCCAGGAAGGAGGCTTGCAGTGATCCAGGCAAGAAGTCAGGATAGCCTTAGTTGAAGCAGAGGCCGTGGGATGCAAGCAGTAGACTGATTTGACGGGAATGTAGGACTGGGGTGAGCTTAGATAGGAAAGTAGAGGGAGAAGAGAAGATTGACTTCTAGGGTTTTGGCTTGGTCAAGGAAACAAAGGAGGGGTTGCAATTTTGGGGCTGGAGTGACCATGAATTAAATTTTCTATGAGCTTTCTGGTTTCTGATTCAAGTAACATATGAAATTTTGAGAGCTTATTATGTGTCACTTTCTGGGCTAGGTATTT